ATATGTTGTAAAATGTTGTATGTCTGTTAATGTTTCCCTCCTTTTATCTTTAAAATAAAAAAAAAACAAAAAATGAAAAGCACAAGACATGAGATACAAAACACGAAGGACACATACATGGATTATGTGTGGTTTTCTATGAATAAATTTAAGTAATTTTCCATTTTTTAATAGCCAAATTATGTACCTAAAAAAGATTCAAATCTGGAAATGAGCCAAAAATATGTTGCTTCTACCACTATACAGTATGCGCGAACAGTTTTGACAATGAAATAATTTTAAGAATGCATAATTTGCAGTGTGGGTCTACATTTACAATTTCAGATACATTTCACCTACTTAAAGTTCTAGCCTTCACATCAAGTCCCAAAGAAATGTCGACACTGGGACAAAACTTTCAAGTCAGAATACATTGAGTACCAAACGAGTTTCAAAGCAGCCTAGCACCAAGGTGTTCCTTTTACATACTTACATGTACAGAGCCTGAGGACCTATCATAGAAGCTAGAAACGCAGACACCACACCAGACCCCGATCCCACTTCAAGGCATATTTCCACTCTGAAAAAAACCCATCAAAATAAATTATTACCATATTAACATTAAAGTATACTTTACAGAAAATAACTGTCATGATAGTTAGAATGCATTTCCCCAGCATGATTACACGTATAGGAAATTACAAAAGAAATTAGAAATTTTGGGCTGGGGATTTAGCTCAGCGGCAAAAGCGCCTGCCTGGCAAGCGCAAGGTCGTGAGTTCGGTTCTCGGTACCGGAGAAAAAACCAAAAAAAAACAAAACAAAACAAAAGAAATTAGAAATTTTGGGCTGGGGATTTAGCTCAGCGGCAAAAGCGCCTGCCTGGCAAGCGCAAGGTCGTGAGTTCGGTTCTCGGTACCGGAGAAAAAACCAAAAAAAAACAAAACAAAACAAAAGAAATTAGAAATTTTTTGAGAGATTTGTTAACTTTAGACAATGACTTTGTGCTTAATACTGCGTAACTAGAAATTGCTAATATTTGAGATGTCCAATTTATGAGAAATCGTTATATATCACAATAGGGGGATGTCTTAATTTCAACAAAACTACATAAAATGTATGAAACTATTTCATTTTGGGTTGGAACTATTAATATGAAGGACACCATCCTTTCTCACAGAGCTTTTCAGTATTTCCTAAAATGATACTGTATTATTGCAAAATTTATTTATGAAAGAAGTTTATCATTTTTAAATACTTAACCTTGATAAATCTTTTTAATTTTTATTTTATCGTACTTTATTTTAGGTACTGGGAATTGAACTCAGGACCTCATACTTGCCAGGCAGGTGCTTATGCCCCTGAGCTATATCCCTGGCCCATCCTTGATAAATCTAATGATATGTCTTAAGAGAAAAATACTCTCTAATAATTAGAGAAGCAAAAAAATTCCTTTTTGTACAGCTGTATGCTGGACTGAGCAATTGAGTACCTGATCTTACAATGCCGAAAATCTGAAATGCTACTGAATAAAATCTTCTTTACAGTGTTTTATTTTTCAATTAAATGTATTTCCGTGCCTACAATCTGACACATGCATTAAAAGCACCAGTTATTATTCCAAAGGTTAGCTTCGACAGCACTGAGGGTACTTTCCAGCACTTAACTCTTCAAACAATTATCCCAAAAGAACTAAGGTTTTCTGAGGTTGGAAACAAGCCACACATCTCACAAACCTTTAAGGCTGTATAGTAAGGTCTGTGAATCTAAGTGGCTTTTCTTTGAAAATATCATGATCTCATAATTAATATGAATTTTAAGAATGGAAGTATCTACAACTTAATAAAAAAAATCAGTTCCTTTTACATTGCAATGCAATTTTGTTTTAAAGGGCATAATAGTTTATTTTTTAAAAAACTGTACCACACTGATCATGCTGACCAGTATAGACATGATAATGCCTTTTCTCTTGGATGCAATGTGCAGTTTGTGCTTGTAAATCTTTCTGGAATACCTTGAAAATAAAGACCAATTATAAGACAAAACTGTTCCACACTATAATCCAGTAAATCCAAAAGTCACATCTTTTATAATTAAAATTAGTTTTAAGAGTTGCAGAATTTCATACGTGGAAAAATATAACTAAGTATGAAGGATAAATAAATGCAATACAGATCTCTGAAACCTGAGAGTTGTTTCATCCTAAGGAAAACCAGTTCAAGTCTTATAAGTCTAACGACCCAAAAATTCGTTGAGAAATTACAATGCAGGTAATTTTTTAATAATACGAAATTTACGGCAAACGCTTTAAATCAAGGGCTAGAGCGGACTGTAGAGGCTAACTGCAGTTAATTACAGTATTTGTTTCTTAGTGGCACCAGCCACATTTCCAGGGCTCAAGAGCCGCGTGCGGCTAATACTGTTGTACACAGTATTCCGAGTGGGTTTTAAAATACTCCCGCGCTCTATTCCCTCACCACCTTTCACGTCAATGCCCTCCCCGTGCTAGAGGATGTTTGTCCAGTGCGGGCTAAGCCGAATAATGCCACGTGGTTTTTAATAGCCATTACAGGTTTAATGGTAAAAAGAAGCAATGTTTCCGGAATATTTCGTTTCCTACACCACAGCGAGGTAAGCAGGCACGGGGCTCACGGTCACACTGGCAAGGAGCTGGATCTCTCCCACCGCGGTCCCTAGCACCCCAGTCCCTAGCACCCGGGTCGGAGTAGGGACGGGAAAACCCTCCTTCCCGGCGCTGTGCTGTCAATCACCGGCAAGCGCGCCGACCCCGCCTCCTCCGGCCGCGCTCGCCCTTTCGCGGGCCCTCTGCCGCGGTCTGTGCAAGACACCCAAGTCCTCTCCCGCAGGGGCCCTCGCCCTCCTCGCACCCCGCCAGCTCGGCCGCCGCCGCCTCCAGGGCGTCCAACAGCAGGAACGTGTCCTCCGCGGGCTCGTACACAGCGCTGAAATCACCACGACCCACGTGCCCGTGCAGCGGCGTCGGAAAGCTGGGGGCCGCCATCTTTCTCTTTGCCATCCTACGCGCATGCGCCAAGCACGCGCATGCGCACGCGCTAGGGGGCGGGTCGGAGGCTCGGGGCGGGACGGAGGCTCGGGGCGGGGCGCCTTGTAGCATTTTAATTAAGTCTAACCCTCAGTCTGTCTCTCAGTCCGTCCCTCAGTCCGTGGGATGTTCCTGGGATTGCTGAGTAGACGGTTATATAATATGCAGTTGTTGACATTTGCTTTTCTCTTCTAAACATTTAAATTAGTTTCGTTTTATGGATTAACCTATAGGGCATTTTCTTCTTTTTATTTTACAACTAAAAGGAGGAAAACATTAACAGACAACCTTTTACAAAAAAGCAAAAGAACAGTACAGACAATACACAGTTACAGACAAAGTGGTAGGAAATTAACAATGCTTGTAATTACATACTGATATCTTCAAAGTGGTTTCTCATGAAAACAAATAGAGACATGCAATATTAATCAATCAAGGACTCATTAACAGTTTCAGCAAAGAAACAGAAGACAGTAGATCAACTATGTTAACTATCCTATAAATACATACATACAAAATTTCTCCGATAGGGCATTTTCAACTGTTTTTGAGGTAAATATTTCTTCATTCTAATAACTGGACATTTTCTTCTATTATGTCTCAAGAATTTTCTAAAACAATGATTACTAAGTGTTACCAGCTTTTAAACATCAGCTGAACTTTATACTTGGAGCATTAAGATTTTTAAAATTATTTGTTTTTTGCTGTAGTATTTTACAAAAATTGCCTTTCTGATATTGAATTTCTCTTTATAAACAGTAAGCAAGATAATGCCCTTTAAAATTTTTTTCAGTTTTTATTTTATCAGTACACATTTGCATTACATAATAATTACATTCCTTGTCGGGAGTTGATATGTGGACATAACACATCTTAATTCTTTTTTCATCCTTTTACCCTCCCCTGTCTAGCCCTTCCCTCCGTCCCTTAATCCCCTTCCCATTTAAACAAAATCTATCTTCCTACTTCCTATTGTCTTTTATTTTGCTCTTTATTTATATTTTGGGTTTCTCATATAAGAGAAACCACCTTGTGGCATTTAAGCTTGTGTGTTTGACTTATTTCATTGACCCTTATGATCTCAAGGTGTATCTATTTTCCTACAAATGACTGGTTTGTCCTTATTGATGGCATAGTAGTACTCCATTGTATGAGATGCAAATTAAAACAACACTGAGATTCCTTCTCACTTCAGGAACAGTGGCTTTCATCAAGGAATCAAATCGTAGCAAAGCTGGCAGGATACAAGGGAGAAAGGAACCCTCCTGAATTATTAGTGTTCTAAATTGATGTGACTGTTATAGAAATGCAGGTTTTTAAAAAAATGTTGTTTTATTATACTGCTGAACGTGAAATTCCAATGATCCAGCTGTTTTATTTCAGGATTATGCTGTTCTAGGAGGATGTAGAATATTCTTAAATTGGAATAGTTAGGTGTTTTTTCTTGCAGATGGATCGCTGATATTTTGGGACATTTTCTATAAGGTATTAGACAATTCAAGTTATTTGCATTTTTTTTTTTTTTTTTTTTTTTTTTTGGTTTTTCTCCGGTACCGGGAACCGAACTCACGACCTTGCGCTTGCCAGGCAGGCGCTTTTGCCACTGAGCTAAATCCCCAGCCCCGTTATTTGCATTTTTAGTTAATTTCTGAAACCTATTTTTTATGTTCTTGTTTTCATATATTCTTAAATAATATATAGTCTGGCTGGGCATGGTGGCACATGCCTGTAATCCCAGCACTTGGGAAGCTGAGGCAGGAGGATTGCTATGAGTTCAAGGCCAGCCTGGGCTTCATACAGAGACCCGGTCTCAAAAAAATATGTATATAATCTGTGTGTATTAACTTTTTTAACTGATAAGTTGCCCACACTGTTTTTAAAATTTCCCACTCAACATATGACATTTATGTTTTGATAAATTTAAAGTTACTTTACACCTTTAACTGCCAGATAATGTTTTATTATACAACATATTGTCTTTTTACCAGTACATATTATTTATACATAATAATGGGCTTCATCATGACTTTTTCATACAAGTAGATAACATGTTTCACCATATTCTCCACCCCTATTGGCCTTGCATACCCTCCCCTTTCATCTGCTTCCTCTGCTCCAATAGTTCCTCTTCTATTTTCCTGTGATTCCTGCCCCCACCCAGAGTCCACATGTGAGAGAAAACATGTGATACTTGTCTTTCTGTCTGGCTTTCTCTTAACATGCTAATCTCTAAGTCTATCCATTTTTCTGAAAATGACGTGATTTAGTTCTTTATGGCTGAATAACCCTCCATTGTGTCTGCATTCCACATTTTCTTATCCATTCTTCAGTTGAGGGACATCGAAGCTGATTGTATAATTTGGCTCTTGGGAGTAGTGCTGTGATAAGCATGGATACACAGGTGCCTATGCAGCGTGCTGAGTTAAGTTTTGGGGGGAATGTATTGAGGAGTGATAAAAGTGGATGAAATGATAACTCTTTTTTTTTTTAGCTTTTTGAGGAATCTCCATACTGACTTCCATATGGCTGTAATACCTTACCTTTCTACTAATAGTGTGGAGCAGTTTCCTTCCCCCCCTACCATTTTCATCAATGTTTATTGGTTGTTGTATTCTTGATGATAGCCATTCTTACTGAAGGGAGATGGAATTTTAATGTACTTTTCATTTGCATTTCTCTGATGAATAAGATGTCGAATTATTTTTCATGTACTTACTGACCACATGTACTTCTCTTTAAAGGGTCTGTTTGGTTCATTTGCTCGTTTATTTATTTATTTGAAAGCGAAAAGAACAGAAACAAAAATAACAGAAACAAAGACAAAAAACAAACAACACAAAAACAATAAAAATGATACAGAATTCCAAAACATTTGTGCATTCATAGATTGGGCTACTTTTGGTGTTAAATTTTTTTGGTTATTCATATATTCTGGATATTAATGCTCTTCAGAACAAGCACTGACAAAAATTTTCTCCCATTCTATAGCCTGTCTCTTCACTGTTCTCTTTGCTGTGTAGATCTCTTTAATTTGGTACCATCCCATTCGTCCATCCTTGTTATTATTTCCTTAGCTATTGGAGTCCTATTCAGGAAGTTGTTGTCTATACCTATATCTTGAAGTGTTTCCCAAAGTTTTTTCTCTAGTAGTTTCAAGGTTTCTAGTTTTACATTAAGGGGTTCATCTTGAGTTAATTTTTGTATAGGCTGAGAGACAGCGATCTAGTGTTAATCTTCCACATGTGGGTAACAAGTTTTCCCAGCAGCATTTGTTAAAGTGACTATCTTTTCTCCACTGTATGTGTTTGGCACCTTTGTTAAGAATCAAATGACTCTAGCTGTGTGGAGTTCTTTCTGGGTCCTCTATTCTGTATCATTGCTCTATGTGTCTATTTCTATGTCAGTATCTTGCTGTTTTTGTTACAGTGGCTTTCTATATACTTTGAAATTGGATATTGTGATGCCTTCTTGCTCTCTTTGCTCAGGATTGCTTTGGCTTTCTAAGCCTATTGTGCTTCCTGTGAATTTTAGGATTTTTTTTTCTAGTGTTGTGAATAATGACATTGGTATTTTTATTTTTTAATTTTAAAATTTTTTTTGGTACTGGCAATTGAACTCAGGACCTTGTGCTTGCCAAGCAGTCGCTTATGCCACTGAGCTATATCCCCAGCCTGATACGGGTATTTTTAAGATTAATTTTATTGGACACTTTTGGTATACATGATGATCACATTCATCATAGGAAATTTGTACCTGTGCATAATATATCTTGATTCTTCTTTTCTTCCCCATTTTCCTCCCTTCACCTTCTTTCAACTCTTCTTCCCCTTCAAAGCTTTTTTTTTTTTTCCAGTTTTTTAAACACTTCTTTTTCCTTTTCTCTTCTCCCTCCCTCCTGCCTTGTTCCCTTTCCCATTTGGACATTTTCTTCCCATTTCCTGATATCTGTCATCATTTTTGTCCTTGTTTACCCTTCTGTTTTCTCACACATGAGAAATAATGCAGTATTTAAATATATGACTCTGATTAATTTCACTTAAAATTATGATCTCAACATGCATCCATTTACCTAAAAATGTCTCAAGTTTATCCTTCTTCACGGCAGAGTAGTACTCCATGTATACAAAAACCACATTTTCTTTATCCATTTATCTGTTGATGGGCACTTAGGCCGTTTGCAAGATTTAGATATTGCAAACTGTGCTGCTAATAACATGGGTGTGCATACATTGCTGTGGTATGATTCTTTTGACTCTTTTGGGAGGATAACAAGAAAGGGAATAGCTGGGTCAAATGGAATCTCTAGTTTTAGTTTCTTGAGGTATCTCCACACTGATTTCTACAGTGGTTGCACTAGTCTACACTCCCACCAACAGTGG